TCGAGGGGAAAGGGCAGGACGTGTGCGCTCGCGCCACGTCTGGCATCCTCGGCCTTCCCTCCGGTCTCTGCCCAGCGTGCTCACTGTTCCTCGGCTCGCCAGGCCAAGCGTCGAACCAGACTTGCAGCGCGGGGTAGCTGTGGGCCAGGCGGAACGAGGGTGGGGGGGAGCGACGGATTCGGAACGAAGGGGCTCTACTGGCCACGGCGAGCCTCGGCCAAGAACAGATTCCCCGACCTGGGCAGAAGGAACAACCCGAAGACCATCCGAGCCCGAAGCGGTGCTTCTTTCAGCGCCCAGCGCCTCGGGAGCTTCGGCCTTCACGGCCTCCTGGCGACCTCTCGGGTTCCCCGCGAAAGCCTCGTGGGGTGCGACAGGCGCCGAGGTCAGAGGCCCCCTTCGGGGCGGGCCAAGGCGAATGACCGAAGGCGACCCGAGTTGAAATTATGCTAACGGAGTTCCCCACATAAAGAGATTAACGGTTTCGTGGGACCCATTTTCTTGATGCCCTCCTCCCCCTCCTCCTCCTCCTCCTCCTCATCCTGTCCGCTCATGTTGAAAGGGTTTGCCGAGGCCCTGGAGGACCCCTTGGTGTGCACTAGGCTCAGCGACCTTGCAGACATGTAAGGAGCTCCGGCACACAGACTCTCAATCCCACCAGCCCTCTGGGCGTTGGTGGTTTCCTCGCTCAGGCGGGGCCTCCCTGAAGGGGTGGGAGGGGCACGAAACCGTGTAAAGAGTATGGTTTTCCGATACCCTCCTCGCTCAGGCGGGGCCTCCCTGGAGGGGTGGGAGGGGCACGAAACCATGTAAATAGTATGGTTTTCCGATACCCTCCTCGCTCAGGCGGGGCCTCCCTGGAGGGGTGGGAGGGGCACGAAACCATGTAAATAGTATGGTTTTCCGATACCCTCCTCGCTCAGGCGGGGCCTCCCTGGAGGGGTGGGAGGGGCACGAAACCATGTAAATAGTATGGTATTCCGATACCCTCCTCGCTCAGGCGGGGCCTCCCTGGAGGGGTGGGAGGGGCACGAAACCATGTAAATAGTATGGTATTCCGATACCCTCCTCGCTCAGGCGGGGCCTCCCTGGAGGGGTGGGAGGGGCACGAAACCATGTAAATAGTATGGTATTCCGATACCCTCCTCGCTCAGGCGGGGCCTCCCTGGAGGGGTGGGAGGGGCACGAAACCATGTAAATAGTATGGTATTCCGATACCCTCCTCGCTCAGGCGGGGCCTCCCTGGAGGGGTGGGAGGGGCACGAAACCATGTAAATAGTATGGTATTCCGATACCCTCCTCGCTCAGGCTGGGCCTCCCTGGAGGGGTGGGAGGGGCACGAAACCATGTAAATAGTATGGTATTCCGATACCCTCCTCGCTCAGGCGGGGCCTCCCTGGAGGGGTGGGAGGGGCACGAAACCATGTAAATAGTATGGTGTTCCGATACCCTCCTCGCTCAGGCGGGGCCTCCCTGGAGGGGTGGGAGGGGCACGAAACCATGTAAATAGTATGGTATTCCGATACCCTCCTCGCTCAGGCGGGGCCTCCCTGGAGGGGTGGGAGGGGCACGAAACCATGTAAATAGTATGGTTTTCCGATACCCTCCTCGCTCAGGCGGGGCCTCCCTGCAGGGGTGGGAGGGGCACGAAACCATGTAAATAGTATGGTTTTCCGATACCCTCCTCGCTCAGGCGGGGCCTCCCTGGAGGGGTGGGAGGGGCACGAAACCATGTAAATAGTATGGTATTCCGATACCCTCCTCGCTCAGGCGGGGCCTCCCTGGAGGGGTGGGAGGGGCACGAAACCATGTAAATAGTATGGTATTCCGATACCCTCCTCGCTCAGGCGGGGCCTCCCTGGAGGGGTGGGAGGGGCACGAAACCATGTAAATAGTATGGTATTCCGATACCCTCCTCGCTCAGGCGGGGCCTCCCTGGAGGGGTGGGAGGGGCACGAAACCATGTAAATAGTATGGTATTCCGAAACCATGTAAATAGTATGGTATTCCGATACCCTCCTCGCTCAGGCGGGGCCTCCCTGGAGGGGTGGGAGGGGCACGAAACCATGTAAATAGTATGGTATTCCGATACCCTCCTCGCTCAGGCGGGGCCTCCCTGGAGGGGTGGGAGGGGCACGAAACCATGTAAATAGTATGGTATTCCGATACCCTCCTCGCTCAGGCGGGGCCTCCCTGGAGGGGTGGGAGGGGCACGAAACCATGTAAATAGTATGGTATTCCGATACCCTCCTCGCTCAGGCGGGGCCTCCCTGGAGGGGTGGGAGGGGCACGAAACCATGTAAATAGTATGGTATTCCGATACCCTCCTCGCTCAGGCGGGGCCTCCCTGGAGGGGTGGGAGGGGCACGAAACCATGTAAGTAATATGGTTTTCGGTATGGAGTGGTATGGAATGGTATGGTAGGTATGGTATGGTACGGTATGGTATGATATGGTATGGTATGGTACTGGAGGTATGGTATGGTATGGTACGGTGTGGCATTGGTGTGATATGGTATGGTATGCTATGGTACGCCATGGTATGGTATGGTACGGTATGGTACGTATGGTGTGGTATGGTATGGTATGGTATGTATGGTATGGTATGTGTGGTAGGAACTATGGTATGGTATGGTGTGTGCGGTAGGAATAATATTGTGCTGTATGGAAGATGGAGCGGGAGGTGGGTGGGAAGGAGAGGCTGTTCTGGGAAAATTATGCTAACGGAGTTCCCCACATAAAGAGATTAACGGTTTCGTGGGACCCATTTTCTTGATGCCCTCCTCGCTTTGGCGGGGCCCCGCTGGAAGGGGGGAGGGCTACGAAACCTGGCGAAGAGTAATGCTTTCCGCGACCCTCCTCGTTCAAGCGCGGCCTCTCTGGAGGAGTGGAGGGGGGACACGAAACCGTGTAAACAGCATGTTTTCCGATACCCTCCAGGAAGAGGAGGAGGAGGAGGAGGAGGAGGAGGAGGAGGAGGAAGAGGATAAGATGGATGATGGCGAAGAGCAGCAGCAGGAACCGCAGCAGGAGCAGCTCAGGCGGGGCCTCCCTGAGAGGTGGGAGGGGCACGAAACCATGTAAATAGTATGGTTTTCGGATACCCTCCTCGCTCAGGCGGGGCCTCCCTGGAGGTGGTGGGAGGGCACGAAACCATGTAAATAGTATGGTTTTCGGATACCCTCCTCGCTCAGGCGGGGCCTCCCTGGAGGGTGGGAGGGGCACGAAACCATGTAAATAGTATGGTTTTGCCTCCCTGGAGAGGTGGGATGGGGCACGAAACCATGTAAATAGTATGGTTTTCGGATACCCTCCTCGCTCAGGCGGGGCCTCCCTGGAGGGGTGGGAGGGGCACGAAACCATGTAAATAGTATGGTATTCCGATACCCTCCTCGCTCAGGCGGGGCCTCCCTGGAGGGGTGGGAAGGGGCACGAAACCATGTAAATAGTATGGTATTCCGATACCCTCCTCGCTCAGGCGGGGCCTCCCTGGAGGGGTGGGAGGGGCACGAAACCATGTAAATAGTATGGTATTCCGATACCCTCCTCGCTCAGGCGGGGCCTCCCTGGAGGGGTGGGAGGGGCACGAAACCATGTAAATAGTATGGTATTCCGATACCCTCCTCGCTCAGGCGGGGCCTCCCTGGAGGGGTGGGAGGGGCACGAAACCATGTAAATAGTATGGTATTCCGATACCCTCCTCGCTCAGGCGGGGCCTCCCTGGAGGGGTGGGAGGGGCACGAAACCATGTAAATAGTATGGTATTCCGATACCCTCCTCGCTCAGGCGGGGCCTCCCTGGAGGGGTGGGAGGGGCACGAAACCATGTAAATAGTATGGTATATTCCCCTCCGATACCCTCCTCGCTCAGGCGGGGCCTCCCTGGAGGGGTGGGAGGGGCACGAAACCATGTAAATAGTATGGTATTCCGATACCCTCCTCGCTCAGGCGGGGCCTCCCTGGAGGGGTGGGAGGGGCACGAAACCATGTAAATAGTATGGTTTTCCGATACCCTCCTCGCTCAGGCGGGGCCTCCGTGGAGGTGTGGGAGGGGCACGAAACCATGTAAATAGTATGGTTTTCCGATACCCTCCTCGCTCAGGCGGGGCCTCCCTGGAGGGGTGGGAGGGGCACGAAACCATGTAAATAGTATGGTATTCCGATACCCTCCTCGCTCAGGCGGGGCCTCCCTGGAGGGGTGGGAGGGGCACGAAACCATGTAAATAGTATGGTTTTCCGATACCCTCCTCGCTCAGGCGGGGCCTCCCTGGAGGGGTGGGAGGGGCACGAAACCATGTAAATAGTATGGTTTTCGGATATGTATGGTTTTCGGTATGGAGTGGTATGGAATGGTATGGTAGGTATGGTATGGTATATGGTATGGTATGGTATGGTACTGGAGGTATGGTATGGTATGGTACGGTGTGGCATTGGTGTGATATGGTATGGTATGCTATGGTACGCCATGGTATGGTATGGTACGGTATGGTACGTATGGTGTGGTATGGTATGGTATGGTATGGTATGGTATGGTATGTGTGTAGGAACTATGGTATGGTATGGTGTGTGTGTGGTAGGAATAATATTGTGCTGTATGGAAGATGGAGCGGGAGGTGGGTGGGAAGGAGAGGGTGTTCTGGGAAAACAAGAACCCCACTCAGGATGTGGGGAACAAGAACCCCACTCAGGATGTGGGGAAATAACACCTGGGTAAGACCAGGCCGAAGGCGGTTCGATCGAAAACAACAGCATTTAGCAAGCCAATGCCTGTTACGCATCCTGCCTTCATACCAAGCCAAGCAAAGCATGCGGCAGAGGCGTCCACCGCACTGGACAGTGCCAGAGGAGAGAGGGGGGCAGCACTCACACCGAGCATGAGTATAATCGCCAAGGAGGGAGGTATCCCTGGGCGGCCACAACGCCCAGAAACCGAAAGCACGATGCTGCTCTGCCGTCCCACCTCGGACGACCTGGCAAGGAGCACCCGCCTGGCGACCCCCAGCGGCTGTCTGGCCGCGCGGGCGGCGACCGACGTGGCGGTCCGGGCGACCGGCGTGGCGGTCCGGGAGGGCCCCCAGAGAGCCCCCAGGATGTGAGCAGGCACTGACCGCCCCCGCATTCTCATAGGCCTACCACGAAACGCTCTTAGAACTCAAGAATGATCTAAGAACACGGCAATGTTCTTGGAACATAAGCCCGATGCGCTGAAACAAGACAGTCTCAGCCAGAACATGTCGTGCAGACCGCAAAAGATTCTCAGAACATTCCTTGGTGGGCCCACAGGCGAGCCAGGACGCTTCGCCACTGCTTGAAGGATGGCCCGCGGCCCAGGGCGGCCCAGGGCGGCCAGCCGGGGCGTCCCCGAGGACGCGCCCGGGGAGGCAGAGGGGCCGCCCAGGGGACGGCCTGGGACGGCCCCAACCGGACCCGCGGGCGGGCCCATCAGGAAGACCCCCTGCCGCGGCCTCGAGGCACCCCCCGTGGACGGCCTGCGAGGCGCACTGGGCTCAGAGCTGCACCGGCCCACCAGGAGGCCCCAGGAGGGGCACTCCTGCAGAGGCCCCGAGCGAGGGCACCCAGGAGCCATCGCGACGATCAGGCAACGCCGTGGCCACGCCGCGCGACGGCGCGGCTGCGGAGCGACCTTTCGCAGGCAAAGCGCTCGGCCATCTGGCACTACATGGTGCAACGGCCAAAAAGCCATCTGCAAATCCCTCCTCCTCTTCCTCCTCCTCCTCCTCCTCCTCCTCCTCCTCCTCCACTGCTCCTTCCTCCTACGCATTCTCGTCTCCCTCACCCTCCTCGCCCTCCCACTCCTCCCAACCTGCCACACAACCCAGCACACAGAAAACGGATTGATCCTGGGCAGTCTTCACAACCATTTGCTTGGTCTCGACAAGCTTCGCCTGCGCTGCCTTCTCCAATTCGAGGAACTTCGTGCACTTCGCCGTGGCCTCCTCCTAGGCCCAGCCGGCTCAGAAAGGACAAGCAGGAGGAGGAGGAGGAGGAGGAGGAGGAGGAGGGGGTAGATGAAGGAAGGCCAGGATGTCCCGAAATCGTGGAGTCCGAGGCGGAGTAGGAGGGGAATAAGGAGGATTCCCCTTTGGTCCTCGGGCATGCCCTCGATCTCGCCCTCGGCAAAGGGCTTCGCCGCCTCCACAACCGTGTTTACCTCTGCCTCGAGGTCCAGGATCTTCTGCTCTGCCTCTCGGGGAGCGAGGGGGAGGAAAAGGAGGAGGAGGGTGAAGGGAGAGAAGGGGGGGACGAGGAGTACAGTCGTCGTGCTTCCATAAGGAACGTTGAATTCAAGGAACAAGCGACTTTTCTGGCCATGGCGAGCATCGACTACGAATAGATCTCCGATTTGGATCTCGGAAACATCCCGCAAACCAGAGTCCAGATTGAATCCAAAGCGGTCCTTATGTGTTTGTCTTAGGTGGAAGGGGAGGAAGAGAGGAGGAGAGGGAAGAGAAGTAAGCGGCAGGTGAGGGGAAAAGATGGGGGAGGACGACGAGGAGTAGGAGCATGAGGAGGAGGAGGAGGAGAAGCAGGAGGAGGAGGAGAAGCAGGAGGAGGAGGAGAAGCAGGAGGAGGAGGAGGAAGAAGAGGAGGAGGAGGAGGAGAAGAAGCAGGAGGAGAAGCAGGAGGAGGAAGAGGAGAGGGGACACGGGGCACGAGGGATGGGCGGCCGAAGAAGCAGGGGGAGGAGCAGGAAGAGGGCGAGAGCGGGGGACGAGGAGCGGATGGCAGACCCGAGGGGAGGGGAGGGGCAGACGAGGAGCACGACCAGGCGGAGGTCAGGAACTTCGGCCCTGCCCCCTCGGCAGGCAGGGGAGGACGGGGCGAGGCGAGAGCAAAGAGAGGTGACTCGACACGGCGGGGAGAGGCGAGGCCAGACGGGAGGCCGAGACCGGAAGGGGGGAGGAGAGGCGACCCAGGCCCCGGGCGTCATGGGAGAACGTCGCGCGAAGGGCAGGCGTTCCCTGCTCTCGGCCCCCGGACGAGACGAAGCCAGGACGAGGATGAGAGCGGACGAGGACGAAGCGGGAATCTCTGAGACTCGGCCGTTCTGCAGGATGGCTCGGGCGCCGCCGCCTTCTCGGAGCTTTCCCGAACGCTGTGCGAGCGTTCCGGAACGCTCTGGAACGGGTTTGTCCTCGTCCTAGCCCCGTCTGGGCGCCGTCTCCGCGTGCTGCCTGATGCAGCACAGGCACCGCCGAAGACGGGCGGCATTCCCGTGCCTCCTGGCATTCCCCCTCCGCCAACTCGTCCTCCACCCCCTCCTGCTCCTCGTCCTCCTCCTCCTCCTCCTCCTCCTCCTCCTCCTGGCACTCCCCTCTCCTCATCGTCCTCCTCGTCCTCCTCCCTCTGCCCCTCCTGGTCCTCCTCCTCCTCCTAGTCCTCCTCCTCCTCCTCCTCCTCCTCCTCCTCCTCCTCCTCCTCCTCGTCTTCCTCGTCCTCCTCCTCATCATCCTCCCCCTCCTCCTCCTCCTCGTCTTTCTCCCCCTCCTCCTCCTCCTCATCCTCCTCTTCCTCCTCCTCTTCCTCCTCCTCCTCCTTCCTCGTCCTCCTCACCCTCTTTCGTTGTACGGGAATAAGCTGCACAACTGTTGCATCTGTGCGACATGCATGGGATCCGACTTAGGCCAAATGGCAAGACGACAAAAAAGAGCCTTAAGAATAAAAAGCTGAGTCAAGACTGGCAATGAATCTACGAAAAGAAAAGAAGACCGATAGGGCGTGTAGTACGCCTGCTAAGGTCCTGGGAGAGGTAAAGACGGAATGGGACCATGGCCATGAGAGCATGTTGGTGAAGAATCCTCTTCCTCATCCGTATACTCCTCCCGCCCCCTGCCTCATCCGTATCCTCCTGCTCGCTCTCTTCGCCCCCCAAGCGTGCCGAGCCGACAGCGCGCGCGGCGGCGCCGCCTCCTGCACCCGCACGTTCTTCTCCCTGCCGTCCACCTCCTTGAAGAACTGCGCCAGCGCCTGGGCGGAGTAGCGTGGAGCAAAGAGGGCTAGGAAGCAACTCCTGAGAGGTCTTCCCAAGAACCATTAAGGGCTATCAAACACGATCAAGGGGCCCTTAAGCCGGATCAGCCCAGATCAAACCCAAAATGAACCCAAACGAAGCTAGAGTTAGCCGGATTGAGCGGAACAATTATGCTGGCCTGCCCGCCCAAGCGGCATAAGGGAGAGACGGGAAATATCCGAGGCAAGGAGGCATGGAGCTCTCTACCCTCACCAGCTGTTGGAAAACTCGTGTCAAGCTGGCCCATCCTGGGTGGACGCCGGCGTGTCGCCAATCACTGTGTTACCCATGTGAGCTCGACACGAGTTCCTAGAAGATTGCCGCCCCGGCTGGCATGCGGCCTGAAACCGAAGACAGGCTGCCACACCCTACAATGATTATTGATTGAGCCACCCAGGCCAGAATACTGCCTGAAATCGAGTATAGGCCGGTATACATAAACATGAAAATAGGTAAACTTCTCCACGCGCGGCAGCAGCTCCTCAAGCCGGACAATAGTCGCCGGAAATCGGGGACAGGAGTTCCCTGATCGCCCGAGCCCCAGGGAGGGATGTCGTGGGAAAGTCGAAAGAAAAGGATACTGGAGCCAAAATGGCCAGGGTGGCACTGCCATCGGCCGCTCCTTTGTTCCTCTGTGCATTCTGATCCCCGACATGCACAACCCAGCTAAACAGGACTACGCCAGAGTAGGTTTGTGTTCGACCACGGATATGCCAGCGTCGATGCTGAATTCAGCCTCCCAGGAGTTGCATCCTCATGGGGGCCCACCAAGTGAGGGCACACGCGGGCGCAGGTGGGCAATCGCTCTCGAGTAACACGATGCTGCGCACATGCGTCGATCTTACAAGTTCACTCTGCATGGTAAGAGTCCAGATCGAAGAATACGTTACATGCGCGCGCAAACATGTCAAGATCAACGAGAGTCCATGTGTCATTGTCGGATCGGACGAAAATGGGTGTAATGAAGAACGATGGGTAAGCGAATCAGCTTAGGCAGCTGGTTTTCCCAGCGCCTCCCGCCGCTGGATTTTGGACGCCCGAAATGGGCACGGAAAGAATGGGCACAATGCCCAACAGCAAATGTTGTCCCAAACCAACAGAGGCCGCTGTTGGGCAGGCGGCCTCCTGTCTCAAACGGACACAGGCCGCGGCGGCGCGGACAGCGAGTCCTGTTCACAATGAACAGGAACTGCTGTTGGGCATTGTGCCCATTCTTTCCGTACCCATTTCGTTCGTGCAGATAGATGCGCCAATGTATCGAGGAAAACGCCCGGCGGCATGACCGAAACCAGCTGCATGCAGCAGATGCCATAACCCCCCGTTTCCGTGCCCCCTACCCTTGCGTCCGACCTCACAGTGGCTACCTGACAGAATCGTTCAGCCCTGTCCCTGGCTACCTCACAGGAAGCACCAGAACCTATCCTTCAACCATGTCTGATGAAAACAAAACGCAGATGACGTGAGCACAGGCCGCGCGGAGCCCTGCCGATCCCAGAAGAAGAAAACCGGCGTCAACATAAGCGTTTGGCACTCCGCGCGGATTTTTTGGACCCGCGCAGGGCCCCCTCCCTGGCGCGAGGAGCGCGCGTTGATGCAGTGTTCTCTTCTTCGACATCCTGTTTACAGGCAGCGAGCGCTGCATGAGCTCATCCCTCCTCACCCCGTGCCCTCCTCCGTCTTCCTCCTCCCACGCATCCTCCCCTCAAGTGCAGCCAGGGAGCCTCCTGACAGAGGAGGAGGAGGAGGAGGAGGAGGAGGAGGGAGGAGGAGGAGCGAGGGAGGAGGGAGGATGAGGAAGGATAAAGGAAGGGAAAAGGAAGGAGGAGGAGAAGAAGGAGAAGGAGGAGGCGGAGGGAGGACAGCAAGAGGGAGGGGGAGAAGGAGAAGAGGAGGGCCATCTCCTTCCTCCTTCCTACCTTCCCTCCTCCTCCTCCTCCGCCTCCTCCTCCTCCTCCTCACCTCCTCCTCCGATCTCCCTGCCTCCTCCTCCTCCTCTCCTCCTCCTCCTCCTCCCCCTCCTCCCCTCCCCCTCGCTCCTCACTCCTCCTCCTCCTCCTCGCACCTCCTCCTCCCCTCCTCCCTCCCTGTGGAACCGCCCTCGCGAACCCTCCCTCCCTCCCGCCCATCCTCCCTCCGCCCATCCTCCCCCTCCCTCCTCCTCCTCCTCCTCCCTCCTCCCGCCTCCCCTCCTCCCTAAAAAAAATCCTGTCTCCTCCCTCCTCCCTCCTCCCTCCTCCCATCCTCCCTCCTCCCTCCTCCCTCCTAGCCCCTCCCCTCTCCTCCCTCCTCCCGCCTTCCCTCCTCCCCTCCTCCCTCCTACTCCTCCTCCTCCTCCCTCCTCCTTCCTCCTCCTCCTGCTCCTCCCCTCCTCCCCTCCTCCTCCTACTCCTCCTCCCTCCTCCTCCTCCTCCCTCCTGCTCCTCCTCCTCCCCCTCCCCCTCCCACCTCCTCCCCTCCTCCTCCTCCTCCTCCTCCTCCTCTTCCCCGCCTCCTCCTGCCTCCTCATCCTACTTATCTCCTTCCTTCCCAGTCCGCCTCCTCTCCTACCTCCTCCTACTCCACCTCCTCCTCCTCCTCCTCCCTCCTCCTCCCTCCTCCCTCCTCCTCCCGCCGCCGCCGCCGCCGGCGCCGCGCCGCCCCGCCTCCGCCCTCCGCCCCGCCTCCCGCCGCGGCCCTCCGGCTCCGCCTCCGCCCTCCGCCTCCGCCTCCGCCCCCGCCTCCGCCTCCTCCTCCTCTTTATTCCTCCTCCTCCTCCGCATCCTCCGCCTCCACCTCCCTCCTCTCCCTCCTCCTCCGCCGCCTCCTCCTCCTCCTCCTCCTCGTCCTCCTCGTCATCCTCGTCCTCCTCCTCCTCCGCCTCCTCCTCCTCCTCCTCTTCCTCCTCCTCCGCCTCCGCCTCCTTCACCTCCCCTTCCTCCCCTCACTGCTCCGACTCCTCCCCTCGCTCACCGCCCCCCTCCTCCTCCTCCTCCTCCTGCCTCTTCCCCCTCCTCGCCCTCCCCCTCTGGCCGCGCGCCCAGGGGGCCTGAGAGGACGCGGTTATCCGCTGGTTGACCTCGTTGAGCTCCTGGGGAGGGGCGGGGGGGGGGCGCGTGCCGCGAGGGCGCCAATCGAGGAAGCGTGGCCCGAACAACAATTGTGGTCGGAGGCGGGCTGGATCCACCAGGCGGTCTGCCATCGGCGGGGCGCGACGGGAGCGAATTGGGCACACAGGGAGGGGAAGGCAGGAGGGGAGGAAGGGAAAGTAGAAGAAGGAAAAACGGCATCAACATAAACTTTGGCGCTCCGCGCGGATATCTTGGATCTGCGCTGGATTCCCCTCCCTGGCGCGCGGAGCGCGCCAGGGGCGGCGCCGGAGGCGCCGCCGCGGGGGCCCAGCGCGGATCCAAGAAATCCGCGCGAAGCGCCAAAAGTTTATGTTGATGCTGTTGTTTGCTCTTCCAGGATCGGCAGTGCTTTGCGCGGCATGAGCTCACGTGGTGTTCATGGCGTCTTTCTTATTCGCGGAGGGAAAGGCTGCGGGATGGCCAGAGCCCCCTCGGAGAGCGAAGAACTTCGGGAGGTGCCGGAGCCAGGCTCAAGCACTCGACACCGTCAGAGCAGGCGAAGGTGCACCGCAGGTCCAGGGTGGGGAAATGAGGCAGAGCCTGAGCACGAGGTCTGAGCACGAGCCTCCACGTGGCTTGGGCTGTTACCTGGGCCACTTGCTCTCGTGGGTTGCGCCGATAAAAAAGTCCCGCGCAGTAGTTTCGAGGGGGAAGCCAAACACACACACACACACACACACACACACACACACACACAAACACACAGAAACACACACACAACACACACCCACACACAACAACAACAACAACAACAACAACAACAACAACAACAACAACAACAACAACAACAACAACAACAACAACAACAACACAACAACAACAACAACAACAACACAACAACAACAACAACAACAACAACAACAACAACAACAACAACAAACATCAGCAGCAGCAGCAGCAGCAACAACAACAACAATCCATTTTAAGACTGTTCGCCCATATAGTATATATAAATATGTTCGAGTGTCCAATAACGCGTATTTCCCAAACCCTCGATACCCGCCCTCTTCGTCTTCGATCGAACCCCTTTTGGGGGGTATACCTTTCTTCCCTGCAGGCCGGGCCCCGGCAAGCAGCGGGGCGGCCGCGGACCGTCGGCCTGGCCAGCGGCAGCGCTGATCGGCGGGGCGGCCGCGGACCGTCGACCCGACCCCAAGAGGGACGGACAGGGGACCGACCACGACGACGACGACGACGACGACGACGACGACGACGACGTCGAAGACGACGGCGACGACGACGACGACGACGGCGACGACGAGCGAAAGCGAGAGCGAGAGAGAACGACAGCAGGGCCACAAGGACACGAAGTAGGGCACGAAGGGCGACAGCGGGGACACGAAGGGAATGCGTATGGGGCCCA